ATGAAGAGACCGTTCAAATAGCTGTTCGGGGCTTGCACAACGTGACCCTGCATCTTCTTGAACTCGGTATACAAGAGAGAAATCTGCTTGACGAAGTAGTCATCACCCAGACCCGCATCACCAGAGTTACCATATACTGTAACACGGTCACCAACATCAAACGGGTGCTTGATGAAGACGAAAATGACCGACTGAAGGAACTCCTGTGCAGTGGCAGAAAACAGCCACGACAACGCAAGGATACTGGAGCCTGCAGACGTGAGTACACCAGCAGCGGAGGTGGAAATCAGGGTCAAGAACACGATCAGGGTAATGATAACCACGAAGAATTCCAGGATATTGTCGAGTCTTCCAACAACAGAGTCAAGATCCTTCAAGGACGCAGTGATTGCTTTGCGCTCGCGTCCAATCTCCACGCACACAGACTCCAATTCTTCCATGGAGATATCTCCGTTCATGTCTTTGTCGAACATGGTAAAGGCAGCTTCAGCTTCGTCATTGTTATCAAACGCTTCCTTCAGATCGCCGGAGAAAACGGTCTCAAAGCCATCCCGCACGAGGGTCCGGTAGAGTCGCCGAGCCAAAACCTGACAACCGCTGGTGGTTCGCAGCAAAGCCAGCACAACCTGGTAAGGGTGGTTGCTGTTGGTGGCTGTGCGTCCAGTGAAGTCTGCTGCAACTGCACCGGCCACATCACCGACCTTGGTAAAGGCACCCTTAGCAAGACGTCCCGCTTTACCAGCGTAATGGAACGGGATCTTGAGGCCGTTATTAGAACTGGGCTGTTTTTGCTCCTCGAATTCCTTGTCCTTGGCAGTGATTTTCCTCCGCGAGAAGTCGTATAACTTGGTCAAGCTGCCAATTTGGAACTTGTTGATCTCAATTCGGTCGGCATAAGTACGCGTGTGGAAGCTGATGGCAATAAGCTGAATAATGAATTTCTCCACCAGGTTGAGGATCGTCCAGACGAAGACGGAAATGATAATCTTGTTGAGCGTATTTTCCCAGGAACGCGTAGCATGGTTTCCGTCCACGTGATGGTTCTTCATTGTGGGCAGAAAAGAAATTTCGACACCCAACCACCAGAAGAAAAGAGTTGCATGCAGCTCCAATTGCTTAGCAAGATCACGCCATTTCTTCGCATTGTTGGTGAAGATACTAGCAAGCGCGTTCACAGGTATAGGGATCAACTTGGAGACGATCTGTCCAGAATCGAATTAGCAATGAGGCGATGGATAAACAGACAACGATATCACAGGTACTCACTCTTCCAGCCCACAAGGTCAACCAGACGATTTCCAGCCAGACTGAAAACCAAAGCAGCCGGACACCTCCGACACTGGCATTAGGATAGGCCAGCGCGCCAACCAATAACGGAATGAGTAGGATGATCACAAGAGGCAGGATGTAGGTAAGGTAACGGATGATGAAACTCGATTCATGGAGTTTCTTGACGAATCTGGCAATGTTGGTATTGGGATTCTCGGGTGGATTGTAAACTGCAGCTTTCTCATGCAGCGGATTGGTGGCCTCGTCAAACTCGTCGACATGTTCGTTAGGGCGCGAGCGAGAACGTGAACGCGAGCGAGAGGTGGATGGACGGCCGTCGTGAACACTCTTTTTCGACTCTGCCTCTTGCGTGGAGCGCGAAACCATCCGTTCTGCTTCCATAACTGCCAGGTCGTCTTCGAGACGCGTAGATTCTTCTCTCGCAGTGACCGGAGAGGCCAGGGCGGTCCTATCCAAGTCATTGTAAGAAGTGTCCACTCTCAGGTGGTTTCCGTTACTGGCACTGTCATAGACGTAAGTGCCTTCGTCCGAGTCAGGAGTTCCATCTTCCGATCTATGCTTGCTCTTCTCTTCCAGATGATCAGGAGCAAGATGGTCTCCCATGGAGGTCGACATGTTGGCACCAGGCCAGGAGTCGACAGCGAAGGGCTAGATTACAGGCTGACCAGCACTGAGGTTATAGATCGATCTGATCCGGAAAGACTAGATACTGGGTAGGTTAGACCGATATCGATCAAGAGGAGGCCATGCAAAGGCTTGTCTACAAACACATAGTGAAGGATGGAAGAAACAGAAGGATAGACAAAATGGAGGGAAACATCCTAGAGAATAAAAGAGGGTCTGGTGCAAGCGAGAAAAAGCACGAGCAAGGGCGAAGACTGACCTACACTGGTGGGAATTCCTTCCGAAAACCAACAAAGCTAATGATGCATTGACTCTGGCCGGTGGGCTTAAAGAGGAACGGGAGATAAGCGGGCACTAGTAGGATTGTGCAGACGGAGGAAAAGGGAAAAAATGCACAGAATGAAGATGAAGATGCAGGAAGGAAGAAGAAAAGAAAGTAATGACAAGAGGAGGAGAGGAATAGGACAGAGTGTAGGTGGGGAGCCCGTGAAAAGAAAAGAAAAAAAAAGACAAAAAGACAGAAAGAAAAGACAGAAAGGTACCAGACCAAATGAGACTGGACCTTGGTTCGACAATTCGACAGCAGCAGAGCAGAAGGAGGAGGAGATCGATGCGGGCGAGATGCCGATCGCACGGGACAATTAAACCAACTGGAGATTCAATGACTGAAGGTTTGGCAAGGTCCAGACCATTTCTATTTCCTAGTCGAGTCAGACTTCGGTTATGCACTTGAGTATATCTCAAAAAGCCCAATTTATAAACACCATCCTGTGATGCCTGTTTACAAGGGACAAAATCGGCAATTCCCGTTGTCGATTGACCATCTACCCTGGGAACTATCTCAGCCCATGCACCGTAACAATGGGCGGAACTATCAGAGGGTTGGCCGCGGGTGGCGGTCATTCTACGATCCAAGACCTCGATCGATATGGATCCCAGTCCTAGACTATCCATTCAGTGGGCGTGCTCTCAACATCGGTTCTGGCCCAGTGGCGCCCAGTGGCGCCCAGTGGGTCCGAGTCATCTAACGTTAGAAACTTCAAACGGGTCCAAAAAAAAACTCTGGGACCCAGTGTACCCTTCATGCTAACCCAAACTACCTGCGTTAGCTCCTCCGTTGCAGCCTTAGTCTCTGGTGTCTCACAGCGAGACTTGCGTTACCTGAGAGGGAGGGGGGGCAGCTTGGCATTTCGCGGGATTTGGTCCTGCAGCGGGCATTCAGATAAGGGAGATTATTCGGATTTTATGTAGGAGATTTTTTTTTTTTTTTTTCCCCTACCTCACTTCGGAGATGCAAAATCCGCTGACTGACCGTGGGAGGGTTCCAGACAGATGTCAAGTCTGGAAAAGGAGACCAAAATGATGCTATCTCTCCTCCAGCGATTATTTTCCGAAGTCTTGAGTCTTGAACGCAATAAATGTGGAAAGGGCAAAAAGTGGCCACCGCCAAGAAACGCCACATCAGGCACTCCCGGGCTGTCCTCCCAGCTGTGCACAAAGTCTTGCACAAAGTCATCATCTTCATTGATCCTTGGATCAGCAACACTTACGTACGTGGAAGACCAACCTCGGAAATCTTTTGCCCCCCCTGCGCAGATTGCGCGTGTCTTTCACCTGGACTCTATACCGAAATTTGTACGTCATGTCCGGTTACTGTCCTTGCAGAAATCTTCACGATTTCTTTCGCTGCCATTCATCTTAATAGGGATATTATGGTTTGCTAGGCGCGAGTCAGTGCAGTCTATAGCCTCAACACTAGTATTTGGCGCTAAGCCTGGAGGATTCCACCATAGACACCATCTGAGTCTTGACGTCTCAAAAACCTGATTTCTACACGCTAGTGTTTTTTGCAACCAACCAATCCATCATCTCAATCTTAGATGGATGAACGAGACCGCCTCTTATGATAGGTGACAAGGAGGGACGCGGCTAACCTGCCGAAATATTATACCTACCCAGCATGATATTCGGAGTTACAAAGCGCCATTCTGATAGGCTTGTGCAATTGGTAGTTGTATGTGCATAGTTATGCTCCTGCTTACCTCCATCTCCCATCATATGCAACATCTACTCACCCATCACAATTGTCAAAGAGTCGATCTCGATTGGGCTTTAGCCCTCGACATCATTGAGTTGACCACGCGATTTCCATTGGCAGGTCCCCTCCCGGCTGTTGACGTGTCTTGCCCCGCCATGTCCACTGAAGATCGCCGCGGTCATCTGCACGGTCGATGGGAAGGCCATGATAACCGTAAATGGAAGCTTATGAATTATGCTTACGATGTTCAAATAATCGAAGCGCAAGGACCATCTCAGTCACTCTGTAAATTGCAACAGGGTATCCATCGATAACGGTTTGCCGTTTTAACAACAACTTGACCGCATTGATTACCATCTACCTGCCAGTGTCCAAGTGTTCCATACTGCCAGCCATACCAGCCAACTCTGTGCTCGGGTCATTCTTGACTAGTCATTCTGCCTGCCTGCCTGCCTGTTCTCCGGTTCTTGTTAGCCCGTGCAACTAAATAATCTGTAGGCGTATATTGGTACATAGTAGGCATGGTGTAGGGGCAGAGTGCGGGGAAGATCGACACTAAGCATTTTCATACTATATCTTTCCATCAGATGTCCGTAGCATCCTACTCGCCCCTCTGAGTAGATATATTGTGTGCCTCATACAGCTAAGTATTGCAAATCCAGCAGGGGCATCGCAGCTACCCCTGGTCTGTGCAGGTCAAACCGCTGTCACACATCATGAGTCCCAAGGATGGCTTCCCCGCATTCCACGGCAGGAGGCACGTGGAGTATAGAGGATTCCGCGATGACGGAAAAGGGACGGAATAGAAAGGAGAGAACTCCGTGGTCGATAAAGTGTAGTTCTTTGATCCTCTGAAGTATCGAGGCGCCAAAACTTTTGGTGTCTGTTATACTGGGAGGAAGCAGACCGAGTTGGTCAGATTCACGTGCTGATCGACTGATCGGCCGGGAGCAGAAGGGCAGCTGATTGGTCCAAGGCGCCTTGTCTTGTTTATTGGACCGGCAAGATCGACTGATGCTCTCTCCTTCCATTCTCCATCCTATTGATCCAGAAACTCCCTCATCCTTCATCCCTTTCGCCTCTTCTTTTTCCATCATCCTCTGGGGTTGCAATTCTACTGCTTGTCATCCCAGTCCATCACCCTGATACCGCTGAGCGAATCCCTTGCGTCTGTTTACAACGATAACCGGACCTATTCTCCAGCATGCGAGGCGAGGTATACCCCCCGTTCTATTTACCTTTGGACCCCCGCACCGTCCCCCCTCCCCTTATCCATAAACATCCAATTCCACAACCTCACGCGCCGACACTCGTTCAACTGCCAATCGAAGCTTAAGACTGCTCTATTCTAACTATTGCTTTTCATCAGGTCTGCCACATCCACATCGGCCAGGCTGGTATCCAGCTTGGTAACAGTGCTTGGGAGCTGTATGTCTTCACCGCTTTTTATAGTACCCATGTCTAGATGTCATTGACCCCATGCTGACCTGTGACCGTCACGGCAGGTACCTCCTTGAACACGGTCTCAAGGCTGATGGTCAGCTCAATCCTGAGGCTGAAGACGCAATTAATTCGGGTGGTTCGTTCGAAACTTTTTTCACAGAGACACACAGCGGCAAATATGTCCCTCGTTCTATCTTCGTGGATCTTGATCCCTCGGTACGACCTTTCCAGATGGATGGTTTCATATAATGTATATGCTAAACTGATGGATGCAGCCTGTCGATGAGATCCGCACCGGCCAGTACCGTCAGCTCTTCCACCCCGAGATGTTGATTAGCGGAAAGGAAGACGCTGCCAATAACTGTACGTCTCTTCTAATCCGGCTTGAACATGTGACCTAATGTCGCCAGATGCCCGTGGACATTACACCATCGGGAAGGAGCTCGTTGAATCAGTCGCCGACCGCATTCGCCGCGTCTCCGGTAGGTTTACCCCAATTTCTCTGAAACATGACTCTGCCGGGACTAGGCTTACACACACTAGATAACTGCAACTCTCTGCAGGGATTCTTGGTCTTCCACTCCTTCGGCGGTGGTACTGGCTCCGGTTTTGGCGCCCTGCTGCTTGAGCGTCTTTCCACCGATTATGGAAAGAAGTCGAAGCTCGAGTTTGCGGTGTACCCTTCCCCTCGTGTGTCGACCGCCGTCGTTGAGCCATACAACGCTGTTCTCTCCACCCACAGCACTATTGAGAATGCTGACTGCACCTTCTTGGTGGACAACGAGGCGGTTTACGACATCTGTCGTCGCAACTTGGACATCCCACGTCCTGGCTATGAGCACCTCAACCGCCTAATCGCCCAGGTTGTCAGCTCCATCACCTCAAGTCTCCGCTTTGATGGCGCCCTCAATGTCGATTTGACTGAGTTCCAGACTAACTTGGTGCCATTCCCTCGTATCCACTATCCGCTGATTTCGTATGCACCCGTGGTCTCGAGCAGCCGCAGCTCCCACGAGAGCTTCAAGGTGCAGGATCTCACTTTCCAGTGTAAGTAGTCCTCTTCGTGGCTTTTCGTCGAGGTATTGGTGTGGATGGATAGCTAACAGAGGCTGCAGGTTTTGAGCCGAATAATCAGATGGTGGTGTGTGATCCTCGCAAGGGCAAGTATATGGCAGTGGCTCTGCTGTACCGCGGTGACGTGGTACCCCGTGACTGCACTCAGGCCATCGCCTCTCTCAAGGCCAAGGCTTCGTTCAATCTTGTCGAATGGTGCCCTACCGGCTTCAAATTGGGAATTAATTACCAGAAGCCCGTTCGCGTTCCCGACACCGAGCTCGCTCCCGTCGACCGCTCCGTCAGCATGCTCTCCAACACAACCTCCATTTCTGAGGCGTGGGGTCGTCTTGACCACAAATTCGACCTCATGTACTCGAAGCGCGCCTTCGTTCACTGGTACGTGGGTGAGGGTATGGAAGAAGGCGAGTTCTCCGAAGCTCGTGAGGACCTGGCTGCGCTGGAGAAGGACTACGAAGAAGTTGCCAACGACAGTCTGGAGCCGGAGGGTGAGGAGGGTGAATACTAATACCTCTCACACCCTGTTGGCTTGTGCTGCTTTGGTCGCTTCGTCTTTTGGTCTGCCTGTCTCACTTTGCCGGTCAAATTGTGTCGGTTCCATCCTGGATGCTTGCGACACAACCCCCTTCCTTCTGTTCATGCGTCCCTAGCGTTGTTTGATTCCCCTGCTCTTACCTAATAATGAACTGATACATGCGCTGCGGGAGAATATGAGCACACGAATTCATCGGTCTTTTGAAAGGACGCGAAAGTGTATTCCACGTGAAAAAGAGAAAAGTCTAGTATTCTATCAATTAATATACACAATCAGGTATTGCGAGTGCGCGGGACCCTGTAAGCTCACTAATCCTTGCTCGTAGCCACCTCCATATCCTGGAGAAGTCGCAAAGAAGTCTCATAGGTCCACATCGTCACCGCACTGGCAGGGGCAGCCTTGAACAGGCTGACCGTCAACCCCCGATAAAGTCCGCGGATACCCTGTGTCCGCAAAATCAACCTCATCGTATTAAACACGCCCTGATACTCAGGAATATTGCGATGAATATATAACTGCCTGGTCGGACCCTGCACCTGCAACCTCTTCCGTACCAAATCCAACGGAAACATCACCGTCTTCGACGACACACTGGCAATCACACCCGCCGCCGCATCCCCCGACCCAAACGGCAAATCCTGATACTGCGCCAACGGCGGCCTCAACGCCTCATACGTCGCAAAGAACAGTCCCATATACGGCACAATCTGCCCCACAGCCGCACTACACCCGCGAAAGAACCCCGCGTACCCTTCATTCCGCGCGATATCCCGCACCGACGACATCAGCGACGTGTACACCCGCTCCGTGCCCTGCGCGGCGAACCGCGTCCTCAGCAAATCCAGCGGGTATGTAGATGCCGTGGCGAGACCCCCCGCGGTGGCGCCCGCGACAAACGATTCGACGGAAGGGGGCAGTCGATAAGCATCGAGTTGGGCCAGCGCTTGCGTCGTTGTGCGGTATGCGCTGAATTGGATCACCCCGTAGCAGACGTACATTAGTTCCGCGGGGATGTTGCCTTTCCACAGGCCGGTTATACCCTCTTGACGGATGATTTCGCGCATGGTGGAGAGCGTGCCTTTGTAGATTGGGCCGGTTACATTGTGGTGGGAGGGAGGGTCGGAGAGCGAGTGGATTTGGAGCTGGAGCCGGATTTTGACCACATCTAGAGGGGCGACGCAGAATCTGGGTCGGTGAGGGTGAGGATTAGGTGGGTTGTGTTTGTAGGGGGGAGGTTGGGGGATGGGCGTACCGTGATACGAGGCCGGCTATGCCGCCTGCTAGGACGACTTGTCGTCGTGTGCCCTGGGTGGTTGGAGGGGATTGGTTAGCTTGCGCATTGGGAGTGAGGGTTGATGGATGGTCCATGGGGGTTTTGGGGTGGTTATGTACCTCATCCTTGAGGTGTTCTCCCCCGGCCGACATGCATGTGACGGTTGATGGTTAAGGCGAGAGAGATGTAGGTATTTGAGGTGGCCTTGATGGTCGCGAATGCTAGCACGTTATATAGAGGTTGTCATTGATGTGGTTTGCTGTATGGTGGTGGTGTGTAAGTGGTTGTTTCGCTGGAGGCCTTGTCGAAAGGCGACGGGCAAAGAAAAAAAAGGGTAAAAATGATGCTAACGGTCTAGAGGTATGACGTGTGTCCGTTTGTTGGTTGGTTTCTTTTTCTTTTCCTGCGGACGGAGTCTCGGAGACTTCAAACTGCCGGATTTACTTCCGTGGAGAGTTTCTTGATTCTGTTCACACCCGGTGAAATGAGGGCTGATTTACAAAATTACTACTTTTTATTGATTTGGCAACGGGCGATTATGCTCCGTCTGGAACAAGCAACCCAAGGGATGGCAAGCAAATCCCCTGGTGGATGAAGATGCCTGGTGTCTCTGCCTGACTGCCTTACTGCCTAGCTCGTACTTTAAAGCGGCGGCGAGTCAGTGCCCAATCAGGTGCCATCCGAAAAACCTCGGTACAAACAAAGTCGCATCAGACCATAAATTATTATCTGGGGGATCTCCTGGCGTCCCACTTCTTTCCCCAGCTCTCTTTCACTCCCCAAACCCGAAGTCCTTGGATGCGGGCACCTTTAAACTCTTCATAGCAGGTCTCCTCGCTGCTAGTATCCGCCATGTCTCGTCTGTTGCGAACCGCCCTTCGCCTGCCCCGGGCCTCATTCCCTCCGGCCTCCGTTCTCAGCCGCCGTGTCTATTCATCCTCTGTTGTTCGTCGCTCAGCAGCTAATGCTACCCCTCCCGCCAACAATGTGGCTCCCACATCAAGTGACGCTGCTCCCACAGTTAGCAGTATTGCTTCCGCAGCCAGCAATGCGACCGCCGAACCCAGTGTATCACATGAAGTAGCAAGTGGAAGCAATGAGCCTGTATCATCGCCGTCAAACCAATCCTCAACCCTGGAAGCAGGTGAACAGCACGAGGGAAAGACCCAGGAGACAAGCGCCGGGACTGTAGAATACCAGGATAACAAATACACAATCTCACGCAAAGACGGGGGTCTAATCATCCAAGAAGGCCGCAAAAAGCCCATCGAGATCCTAGACATCATCCTTCGCGACTCCTGCAAATGCTCTACCTGTGTGGACCCTCACTCCAAGCAACGCAACTTCCGCACGAGCGACATATCCTCCGACATTATCTCCGAGAACCCAACCATCGAGCACGGAAAGCTGCACGTAACATGGAAAAACGACCTCCGCGGCGCACCCGCCGAATCAACACACGAGTCCACATACGACCTCCACCAGCTCCGAAACCCCATCCTCACCCCCGTGGAAATGGAATCCGCGGGCAAAAACCGCTGGCGAGCCTACTGGGACAACAGCCGCATGCAACACTGGCAGCACTGGATCACCTTCGACCAATTCATTAACAACGACATCTCCTTCGCCTGGTCCATGCGCACCCTCGCCGAACTCGGCCTCATCTTCATCAAAGACATCCCAGACTCACGCGAAATGGTCGAGAAGATCGCCACCCGCATGGGTCCCATCCGCGATACCTTTTACGGCCGCACCTGGGACGTGCGCAGCGTTCCCCAAGCCACCAACGTCGCCTACACAGACCAATTCCTCGGCTTCCACATGGACCTGATGTACATGAACGACCCGCCCGGCTACCAACTCCTCCACTGCCTCAAGAACTCCTGCGAGGGCGGCGAATCCCTCTTCGTCGACACCTTCCGCGTCGCATACGACATGAAACAGGACGACCACACAAACTACTCCCGCCTCCTTCATCACCACATCCCCTACCACTACAACCACCCGGACCACTTCTACACGAACACTTGGCCCGTCTTCGAAACACAGACCTTCGATGACAGCGTCCGCGAAGGAACTAACTTCTCCAAATCCCGTCTCGTCCACGTTAATTACTCCCCGCCTTTCCAGGCCCCCAGGAAGGTCCGGTCTCCTGTGCCCCGCAAGTTCCGCGAGAAGAATGAGGCTCTTGCTAAGTTCGCCTCTCTGCTTGAGGACGAACGGTATATGTTCGAGCTGAAGCTGAACCCCGGTGAATGTGTCGTCTTTGAGAATCGTCGTGTCGCGCATGCGCGTCGTGGATTCAAGACTAGTACCGGTGAGAGGTGGCTCGCTGGTGCGTATGTCGATGAGGATGCGTTGTTGTCGGAGTTTAAGACTTCGTCCAACAAGTATCCTAACCTGTGGAGGTTGAAGCGCAAGGGGCTGAATAGTAAACATGTTAAGTTGTTGAAGGGGGTAGGTAAGCCGGATGAATTGCCTTAAGTTTTATTTTACTATTTGGAGCGGGGGTGGAGAGAGAGAGAGAGGGGTTTTGGGGGGAAAGTAGATATCCATTGCTATTTATACGAAGAGGAAGATGTATCATATGTGCATACAGCTGTGACCTGAGGGTCTGATACATGAATACTATACATAATTACTTATACTAAGCGGGGCTGACTGGGTCATTTGTATAATAATCATAAGTGGTCATTTTCATTTGGTAGTTTTTATATAAACGACGACAAGAATTCCCCATGGCACTCACTCATGGGTATAGATATCATCCAGACAAGTACTATGTAATTCAGCCTGTCAATAATGGACACAGGGGGAAGAGGAGCAAGACGCCGCTAGATCTCAAGCTCTAACAATCGAGGGTTTGAAAAAAGGTTAAATGTGAATAGGAAATGTTGGAAAGGGAGGGGGAGCTATCCAATACGGACAAAGCCGTGGTATCATTCGACTCATAGTTCTATAGCTTAAGCAGCGGGCTTGTTGACGGAGAAGCGGTCCAGGAAATCGGGATCGTTCTCGAGTTCCTCCTTGACCTGTTCAGAGATAACTTGTTAGTACTGCATACAGACCATAAAAGTGAAGGGAGGAAGGGGGCTCACAATATCCAATCCACCAACCAACTCACCCTCCACCCACAACTGCGGGAAGGTAGGCCAATCCGCAAACTCCTTCAGGCCCTGTCTCACATCCTCATCGGCCAAGATGTTGAAGAATCCATACTTCACGCTCCGCTCACGCAGAATACCCACAATCTGCCGACTGAAGCCACACTGAGGCGCACTGGGAGATCCCTTCATGAACAGCATGACCGGCGCAGCCTTCACTAGCTCCGCGAGACGCGCAAACAGCGCCTCCTTCGACTGTTCGGGGGTCAATGCGGGGGCGGCTGCGTTGCCGTTCGTGGCGGGCGCCTGTGTAGCGGTGGCGGGGACGTTCTCTCGAGGCACGGCGGTCAATGGTGGGGGAATGACGGTCTTGGAAGCACCGTCTGCAGAGGCGGCGGCACCGGCACCGGCGTGGCGCTCAACGGCATCGCGCACTTGGATTGCTTCACTGCCGCTAATGGTTTCGAGAATATTGTGGTCCCGGACGAGGACTACGAAGGGAACAGCGGTGACATTGTACTCTTCCGAGATATCAGGGAGCTCCTCGGCGTTAACGCTGAGGAAGGCGATGGAGGGAGGGTTGGTCGCGGGGTACTGAGAGGCGAGGGCGGAGAGGACGGCGCGCATTTGGGCGCAAGGAGCAGCCCAAGGGGCGTGGAAGTAAAGAACCTGCAGGCATGACGGGGGGATGGAGGAGATGATGTTAGGGAATTCGGCCTCAGAGGCGACTTCGACGAGGGAGGACATGGTGATAGTTCGGTTGGGTTACTGAGGTGGGGTTTCGGCGGGGAAAACTTGGCGTCTGATGTGACGATGGGAGAGAGAAGATCTGAAAAAGGATGAGTGGAGTTGGATGGAAGGCAGATAAACTTGGGAGCGGAGGAGGGTAAGAAAGGGAGGAGACGAGAGGT